CTTACACCCTTCCGTCCTTCAGGTCTCATCTTAGATGTCATCCCAGCAGGTGCGCCTTAACTTCTCTTTGGACACTTTTGTACTCTTTTCCTGTTTTATCTTTTTAGAAGCCCTTCTCACTGTCTGACATGCTGTTCCTTTCACTTGTTTGTTTCTTTCCCATGTCTCAGTTTGGGCTGTTAGATCATGAATACTATAGACTGGGTGATGTATCAATAATGGAAATTTATTTCTCCCAGTTCTAGAGGCTGGAAAGGCCAAGATCAAGGTGTCAGCAGATTTAGTGTCAGGTAAGGGCCCATGTCCTAGTTTATGAAGACTGTTTTCTTGCTGGGTCCTCACATGCCCCTTTGAAAGGGCAAGCAGGCTCCCTGGGGCCTCTTTTGTAGGGGAACTGTACTCCATTCATATGGCCTTTCCCCTCAGGTTCTAATCACCTCCCAAAGTCCTTATCTTTAAAACACCGGGTGTTAGGATTTAACACAGGAATTTGGGGAGAACACTAACTCAGTTTGTAGCACCCCACACGCTCCTTATGGGTAGGGATTTGCATCCCTGCTCATTACTGATTCTCTAGCACAGTTCCTGGCGTATACTAGACCCTCAGTAATTATTGATAAGTAAATCGATAGCTGGGTTCTATCAAATTAAAAAGTGTTGATTTCTTATGTGTTGTAATGTATTTGGGCATAATTTATTGATTTTATTTTTATTTTATATGTCTTTGGGAAAAATGATTTTCAATATCTGTTGTAGATGACAGTTATAACACTTTCACATTAATTTTATTGCATGTTATCTGACCTATGAGTGATATTTGGACCTGGTTCTTTATCTCAGCATATCACATGGGAAGTTTAGTGATTCCTTTCAACATTTCAGTTTCTGGCCTGTGTGGGCGATGGCTCGTGGCTCACAGGAGCTGTGTTGTGCATGATGCCCAAAGCCAAAGCCTGTCTGTGTAAGAAAGAGCAAGACTTCAGCAAGTTTGTTAATGCCGCCTTCAGTTTTGCTTTGAATTGGGAAAACCATTTACATAAGTTTTCCAGACAGTCACACAGTACTGGATCCTGCTGTGGACTGGCCAGTCCAGCTTTCCTAAGAGAAGTGGTGCCCCAGCCTCAGAGAGGTTGCAACTTACCCATGGTCACAAAGCTAGGCGGTGGCACAATTGGAATCTTGTTTCTCTTTGTTGAAACTGGATGCTGGAAACTGTAAAACTACCATTACTTAGAAGGAAATTAGCCCTTGTTCACAAGGATTGCCATCCCCACCCCATTGTCACTTGTCTGTGGATTTATTTTCCCATTCAGAAATTTAAAAATCAAATGAGGCTAAATTTATTAGTGTCTGTCTTTATGGTGTCTATGCCTTTTTGTCATACTTAGGAATGTCTGTTGTACTCTAAGATTCTTTTGAAAATTGCTTTCTTTAGCATAACTATGTATGGTAGAGTAGGGCTTGTAAATAGGAGATTCCTGTCAAAAAAAAAAAAAGCCCTATCACTAGTCCTATAGCTCTTAAAATCCTCATTTCTTTTTTTTCTCTTTGCAGATATGGTTGTGATTTTACTGTAAATTTATGCAGATATCCATCCCCTACTTTGTTGTTTCTCATTATTCTGTTAAATAAATAAATAAAGTTCTGCCATGCAAAATATTTCTAGTTAAAACTTAACAAAATCTCATAGAAAATAGAGAAACCATTTTGTTCACTGCATACATTTTAGTTAACCTTTCTTTTTTAAAGACAGTTGTGTATAATGGAAAAAACAGTACCAGCTTTTAGATAATTTGTGTATACAACTAAATACAGCAGTAAAGCCAGTCTACAGTCATTTCCTTTCTCTCTTAGCTGGGTTAATTCTCCTTTCTTAGCTAATGAGAGAAGGAATGCCTGATTAGTGGGTATCAATTGGACAACTCAGATTACCAGGATATGTGCCTTTTTATTTTTGTGCAAATTATGTTGTTTCAAGAGTTTTAGAAAATATAGCTCCTTAAAGTTGAGGATAAAGTATCGTTCATTTTGCCCTTTCCTTGGCTAATCTTAATCTTTGATGTGTAAGTGACAGTTGAGACTTGGGCTCTCAGTTTCCAGTTTACTAAAAGAAACTTCCCTATCAGGAGCTCATCTGTTATAACTAAGACTAACTAGTAATAATATTTCCCCTTTCGATTGTTTCCGGCAGGTTTACTTATGTTTACCCAACTCCCGCTCCCTCACTGAGGGCCACTGCCTGATAGTCCCTTTGCAGCACCACCGAGCAGCTACTTTATTGGATGAAGACCTCTGGGAGGAAGTTCAGGTCAGCACCACAGGCTCCTCATCACTGCAGGGCTCACCAGCAGTTGTCGCCAACTGTTGTGATGAATTCCAGCCAGTTTCATACCTTCATCTGATGACTTTAGTTTCTGAACTTAAATACTTGTGTTTTTATCGTTTGAGGTTATAATGTTCCTATCATTTTATTTCCCTTATGTACTTCAGGTTGTGAAAACTTTTGTCTACTGAGTAAACTGTGACAAAGTAATAATTATTTTTACTTAAAAAAAAAAATCAACGTAAGATTTCTAATCAGTGCTTTGTGTAGCATGAGAGAGTCGTTATTACCACAAGTAAGCCAATAAATTCCAGCCAAAAGGAAAGAAATTTTCAGATAATGAAAAGAAATGTTAAGAGTTGCAAGTTTATATTTAGCAGTTGCTATATTTCCTGTAGTGGAATTGGCCTTCTCAGTGGCCTTGGTTTGTGGAGATTGTGTTACTAGCTCTAATTTCTGCTCTTCTGCCTGCATAACCTGGACTTCTGGATTCAGGGATTTGTTTTTATTGCTGATTATTTAGCAGAGTAAAAGGCACAACATGGGAGCAGTTGTTGCTGAATTAATTCAAACCTAATAATGACCACAAAGAAAGAAAACTGTTTTTTCCTAATGCTTGACAAGTGGATTAAGAGTTACAGGGAGCACTAGTTAGAGCATGTGAGGCTGTAACTCACAGCTTCAGAAGAGACCAGAGACTGCGCTTGGCCGTGCATGATAAGGATGTCAGAGGAGGAGGTGTTTGATGCATTGCGCGAAATTTATTATCTTGTACCCTGTGCTTTCTAAGTTTATGCTGTGAAAGGTAGAAGAGCAAATTGTTTTATTACATCTTTGGCTAAGAAAGGGTAAGAATGAAGACAGGCATTTTTTATCTGAAACTTTGGCTTTTCCAAGTAGTAGATACTACGACCAGTATGTAATTTAAGGTGGAAAGTATGGAGATTTGTTTTTCAGGATTATTTTAGAATTTTTCTGGGATGCCTTTTAAAAATTTATACATATAAAACTGATTTAGCTTAGAGTAAATTACAGTGCCGAAAATATTTTAAGTAATTACAAGAATCTAGTGTGTATGTTTTTTATTTCTATAAGGGATTAATCTACTTGGTGAAAGAAAATTGAAGTGGATAAAGAGGAAATGTATTCAATTCAACAGATACTGAGTACGTGAACATAATATTTTAGTTGCTGTCAGAAATGCAGAGATAAAATGGTTTATTAATTCTGCCAAAAATATGGTATATGCCAGTTCACATTGTATTATAATTTTACAGGTTTTATGGAAAGCTGAGAGAGGGAGGAAAAGCTAAATTGTTTTATGCAGATAATGGCATGGTAGCCCCTTTGTATGATAAAGGGAAAAACTTGTTAGAAATTATAAATTACTGTAGGTTAGTTAACTAATGAAATGTCTGAATCCTAGATTAAAGAAGTAGTTTAAAAACATTTTTTTTACTTTAAAATATGTACAACAACTCAAATTAATTCTGTTCTAATGATTAGTCTCCTCTTTTGTTGGATAGATTTAAAAAATGGTTTGACTTAATACAAAATATTGTTTGAAATACAAAAGCCTCTTCTTTCAGGTGGTTTTAGTCACCATTATCTGGTAATATTTAAATTTAATTTTACACCTTGTATTTAATAGAAAATGCAGAGGTAAGTTTTGGTAGTACAGTTATTTATTTATTTTATATTTTTATTTCTTTGCTTTTTTTTTTGAGACAGAGGCCCTACCTATGCCCTGAGCAGAGTGCAATGGTATCATACCTCCCTGCAACCTCAGACTTGGGCTGTGGGCATCCCCCTGCCACAGCCTCCGGAAGCCACTGGGATTACAGGTGCTTGCCATGGTGCCTGGCTAGGTTTTTCCATTTTTTTAGGAGTCAGAGGTCTTACTCTCCCTCAGGCAAGTCTCAAACTCCTGAGCTTAAGCAATTCTCCCTCCTTAGCCTCCCACGGTGCTGCAATTATAGGCGTGAGCTACCGCGCCCAGTAGTAGTACACAGTTTAATAATCACAAATTTCAAATTAATAAGATCCAAATTATTAGTTTTTTTTTTTTTTTTTTGAGACAGAATCTCACCCTGTCCCCCTGGGTAGAGTGCCATGGCATCAGTATAGCTCACAGCAATGTCAAACTCTTGGGCTCATGCAATCCTCTTACCTCAGCCTCCTGAGTAGCTGGGAGTATAGGCGCTTGCCATAACACCCAGCTAATTTTTCTATTTTTAGTAGACACAGAGTCTTGGTTTTGCTCAGGTTGGTCTTAAACTCCTGAGCTCAAGCAATCCACCCACTTAGGCCTCCCAGTGTGCTATGATTATAGGCGCAAGCCAAAATTATTAGTTTTGTTAAATACATAATGATACTTGGTCCCCTTTAAATTCTTACCGCTTTGACAAATTCGCTTGAGCATACGCCTATGCTATAGTCTGACACTACAGATTAATTTTTTAAATATCCCAGTTGGCAGCAGGAGAGGGGGTGTGGCCCTTGATGCTTGTTGACTGTGGGCTTCACAGGGAAGTGATGAGTTGGGGACATTGCACTGGGAAACAGCCACTGTAGGTCCTTTCCTTAGAGCTGGACAGGCCCTTCAGAAAAGACTCTTTCAGTCTCCAGCCTAGGCCATCTTAATCTGCTTGCCAGTATTCTGGGAGCTGAGTAGGGGAAAAAGCCTGGAGGTGGCGGGATGTTGAACATTTAAGAACATTAAAGAGCCTTTCCTATAACACCTGTGTTTTCATAACGTATACTCTCAATTGTGTCTGAATTTCCCAGCTCAGCTACCTTGTTTTACCTTTTCCAGAGGGTAATCTTGTGTTCTGCTGATGAAGAGGGCATCTAGCATATTAATTGCTTTTTCAAAAGGCTTGCAATTAAGTCATCTGTTTTTAGCCACACTTTTACCTCCATTTGCATAGATACTTTGTGCTGCCATTCCCTGAGCATTCTGTGGGTTCTGCTGAATGTGGTGGCAAGTGCTATAGTCCCAGCTACTTGGGAGGCTGAGGCAAGAGGATTGCTTGAGCCCAGGAGTTTGAGGTTGCTGTGAGCTATAATACCATGGTACTTTAGTCTGAGGCAACAGAATGAGACTGTCTCAAAAAATTAAAATTAAAAAAAAATCTACTATATCAATAACTATGTTAAATTACAAACAATTCTAATCATATCTAAGTAATCAAGTATTACATACATACCGTAGCTGTATGCTGTCTTCAGGAAACCCACTTCAAATGTAGTATCACAAGTAGAATAATATAAGAGGCTGGAAAAATGTATGTCTGCGTACATTAATCAAAAGAAAGCATAAGTGACTCTTTATATAAAGTAGACCTCAGAGCAGAGAAAATTACATTATATAATGTCAGAAGAAGGACATTACATAATGATGAAGTAAACGGTCAGTCCACCAAAAAGACACAGCAGTCCTAAATGTAAAACATGTGCAGCAGAAACCCAGAGACAAATTCGTAATTATAGTTGGAGACATCAGCACCTTCTTTTTAGCAATTGAAAGAACAACCAGGCAGAAAACCAGCAAGGATACATAAGAACTTAAAGATACCACTGTAGTAGTCTCTAACAAATCACCACAGGGTTGGTGGCTTAAAACACCAGAAGTGTATTTATTCTCTTACAATCCTGGAGGTCAGAGGTCTGAATGAGTATTACAGGGCTAACATCAACGTTTTGGTAGGACTTATTCCTTCTGGAAATTCTGGGAGAGAATCCATTCCTTGTTTCTTCTGGTTTCTTGTGGCATTTCCTGGCTTGTGGTGACATCACTCTGATCTCTGTATCTGTCATCACATTGCTTTCTCTTCTCTGGTCAAAACTCCCTGTGCCTGACTGGATGCGGTGGTTCATGCCTGTAATCCCAGCACTCTGAGAGGCTGAGGCAGAAGGGTGGCTTGAATTCAAGAGTTCGGGATCAGCCTAAGCAAGAGTGAGACTCCATCTTTACTAAAATTTGAAAAATGTGCTAGGCCTGGTGGTGGGCATCTGTAGTCCCAGCTGCTTAGGAAGCTGAGGCAGGAGGATCACTTGAACCCAGGAGTTTGAGGTTGCTGTGAGCTAGGCTGACACCACAGCACTCTAGCCTGGTCAACAGAGTGAGACTCTGTCTCTCGACAAATAAGCAAACAAAAAAAAAAACCTCCCTCTGCCTGCCTCTTAGGACATTTTTAATTACATTTAGGATTTGCTCAGATGATCTAGGATAATCTCACTATCTCAAGATTATTAATTTAACTATATCTGAAAAGCACCTTATGTCAAATATGGTAACAGTATAAGTTGTAGGGATTAGGACATAGATATCTTTGGAGGCCATTATTTAGCCCAGTGTAACTATCATTCAGGATTTGATTAACATTAATAGGACACTCTACCCAATAATATTAGAAAATATACGTTTAGGCTGGGTGTGGTGGCTCATGCCTGTAATCTTAGTACTCCAGGAGGCAGAGGCAGGAGAATCCCTTTTTTTTTCTTTTTTTTGAGACAGAGTTTTACTATATTGCTCTCAGTAGAGCAATAGCTCACAGCAACCTCAAACTCTTGGACTCAAGCAGTTCTCTTGCCTCAGCTTTCCAAGTAGCTGGAACTACAGGCACCCACCACAACACCCAGCTATTTTTTGGTTGCAGTTGTCATTGTTTAGCTGGCCTGGGCCCGGCTTGAACCTGCCAGTTTTTGTGTATGTGGCCAGCACCCTACTCACTGAGCTACGGGTGCTGACCCCAGAATCCCTGGAGTTTAGGAGTTCGAGACCAACTTGAGCAAAAGTGAGACTCCCCATCTCTAGTAAAAATAGAAAAAATTAGCCAGATGTTGTGGCAAGCATCTGTAGTCCCAACTACTTAGGAGGCTGAGGCAGCAGGATTGTTTGAACCCAGAGTTTGAGGTTACTGTGAGCTAGACTGATGCCCTAGCACTCCAGCCTGAGCAAGAGACTCTCTCTCAAAAAAAAGAAAAAACGCTTTTTGTTTCAGAACGCATATCAAAATAGACTATATTTGCCACACAAATGACATTAATAAGTTTAAAGCAATTGAAGCCATGCTGTGTATTCTCTGACCACAGTGGAATCAAACTACACATCAATAGCAGAAAGACAATAGGAAATTTTCTAAATACTGAAAATTAAAAAACCTTAAATGTGAACGTTAAAGTAAGTATACTACAAAAGTTTTAGAAAAAAATAAGATAAAATGTTTAGGCTCTTTAGTACATAGAAAGTTCTTAGATTTGACGCCAAAAGTATAACCAACAATAAAAATTGATAAACCGAGCTTTATTAGATTAGAAACTTTGTTCTTCAAAAGTCCCTTATGAGGATAAAAAGAAAAACTACCAAGTGGGAGAAAATATTCACAAACCACGTATCTGACAAAAATTTGTATCCAGAATATGTAAATAATATAAAAAATCTAGGATGTCAGAACTTCACAGTAAAAAACAATCCAATTTGAAAATGGATAAAAGACATGAAGAGGCATTTCATGGAGGAGAAAATACAGATAAGAAATAAGCATATAAAAAGATATAAATATCATTAACTATTAAAAATGCAAATTAATACCATAATGATAAGTCATATAGCTATCAAAATATAAAATAAAAAAATATTGACAACACCAAATGCTGGCAAGGATGTGGAGGAGCAGAATTGCTCCTGTGTTGCTAGTGGAAATGTAAGACAGTAGAGCCACTTTGGGAAAGAGATTGGCAATTTCTTAAAATACGAAATGTGTAGCTACTTTAAGACTCAACTGTTACACTCCTTGGCATTTACCATAGAGAAACTAAGTTATGTTTACACAGCAACCTGTGCAAATGTTCATGGCAACTTTATTTGTGATAGCCCCAAATTGGAAACATTCCAGATATCCTGTAAAGGTTAATTGTTAAATATATTTCAGGATATCCATATAAGGAAAACTAATTCCTAATTTTAATTTATTCAGCAATTAAAAAACGGAAATATTGGTATGTAAATAACCTATGTGGAACTTTAGGGAATTATAATGCTAATTGAGAAAACTAACCCCCAAAGATTACATGATTCCATTTATCTAACGTTCTTGAAATGACAAAATTAAAGAAATGAAAAGAGTACATTAGCTGTTGCTATGAGTTAAGGTGGGGAAGGGAGTATGGGACCAGGTAAGGTGTGAATGACTGATCTACAGAAGGATAACAGGAGCCGGGCACAGTGTGCACCTGTAGTCACAGCTGCTCAGAAGGATGAACCCAGGAGCTTGAGGTGGTAATGCACCATGACTGAACTGTGAATAGCCTCTGTAGTTCAGCCTGGGCAACATAGTGAGATCCTGTCTTTAAAAAGAAGCAAAAGAATAATAGGGGAGGTCTTTGTGGGTCATGGTGGAATTACTCTGAACCTTAAGTTTATCAGTGTCAACATCATAGTTGTACTATAGCTTTGTAAGATAGGACCATTGGGGGAAATTGATTTCCTATAACTGCATGTGATCTATAATTATCTCTCAAAGTTAGTTTGATTAAAATATTAAAAAGTTCCTTGCCTTTCCTTTGTTTCTGTGGGTGACTGCAGGAGCAGCAATGGCTGCCCTTCCATTTGGACAGTGGTGTGTGTAGCAAGCAAGCTGGGTGGGTGTTTGTGGGGGGACCTCATGGCGCCTGGAGGAGATGAAGATGAGGAGGCATTTCCTTACCCTGTAAATGAATATTTGTATGATTAAATTAACACACACAAAAAAAAAATTAAAAAGGTATAAATCAGGCTGATAAATCTAAATCAAATGTGTTAGTCTTTAAATATACTTGCATAATACCTTCCAAGGCCAACTTTGTACTTGGAATCCTTAGACATGTAGGTGTTCACCCTAGAACACAGTGGTGGGGGGAGAGCCGGCCCGTGGCACCCAGCCTGCTCCTCCCTCTTTCACTGGTTGTTAGCGCCATGCAGTACTGCAGGGAGAGCCAGGTGAGTGCACGCAAATATCCTGGACCATCCAGCTCCATTCAGCACCCTCTACAAACAGCTGCTCCTGAGGCCTGGAGTGTGAGATACATACATGTGTATGTATGTGCAGAAAGGAGCATAGTAATACTTAGTCCTTTGGGAAAAGAAAACTCTCTTTTCAGTTTTAGTGTTTTTTCACTTTCATGCCAGGACTGGTATGAGTGCCGGGGATTGCATTATATGTGGGAAATAGAGGACTTCAAAATCTTATTTGAATGCAAGATTGCAAGTGAGGGGTCAGAGTACATGTAAGAACCAACCAGTGAGGATGCCCTGAGCACAGGGAAACATTTGGAAGTGAATTCTCTTGCTGTCTGTTTCTGAATTTAAGGATGTGCATCTGCTCAGAGCCCCTTTGGGGCTTATGGATGTTTTCCTATGATTTTATTGTTAGTTCTTCATATTTTACACCTCAGTTTGATTTGTCCTTTTTTTTTATCATTTTAGTTTACTGGAACTATTTCTAATATTTACAGAGTGGATTTCACTTTTAAAAAACATTGCTTAAATAATGTGAAATTATATAGTGGATTTAGAAACTATAATTACTAAAGGTAACATGGCAAAGAGCAAGCATTACTTTTTTGTTTTATTTATTTTTATTTTAAAGGGATTTGGTGTACTTTTTTATTGGTTTCATATTTAAATCTCTTCTAAGTTCTTGATTTTGAATCTCCTCTGTTTTATTGATCTGATTCTTTCTCTTTGTTCAGATGTTCAGGAGATCATTGGTGAAGATGTTTGAAGATAAAGGGTTGGACTGCGTCTTTTTAGAAACTAACATGAGTACCAAGAGACAGTTCCACATGGTTTATGAGTGTATTCCTCTCCCCAAGGAGGTGGGGGATATGGCTCCCATCTATTTTAAGGTATTTATAGATCAGTCTTTGCATTCCTACTTAGTTTTTGATACAGTACTCTATTATGAATATAGTTGTCTTTATTACTATACTATGTACTTTTCTCCTATATACTTATATCAAATTCTGTAACACAAAGAAATGAAGGAAAGCACAGAACGTTCTGGTATCTAAGTTTCTTTTGAAAGAAATTGGGAATTTTGATCTTTTAAAAGTATGCTTATTTGGAAGTATGAATATACTATCAAAAGGTAACTTATAATTCCTATTTGAATTTCCCTTTTCTCAAATGCAGTTAGGACTTTACCTAGAAGTGCTTTTAAGTAAGAATTATAGATACAACTCCAGAAAATTGATTATTGAAATACACTGGAGCCACAGATAATAATATGCAAGCAATGCAGATCACAATTACTCAGGGGAGTTATTGCTGTAAGTTTTAGCATTTGATATTTTCTTATGCTATTTGTAAAAAGAAAAATCTCTAACTTTGATAAACATTTTTGTATACATAATGACTAGTGTTCATAACCAACTGTCATTTATAGTATTCAGGCAGCTTTTACTAAATAAATAGTATGTCTTTGATACTGATCTGTATACAGTATAATTTTTAGACAAGGGCATAAGTGTAGAACCATGTAAGAAATACTAACATGCCCAAAGAAAAAAGAAGGTAATATTTTGTGAGTTTGTGTAGGAAGATTGCATATGGTATGTTTATATAGTATATGGGATGGTAAAATTTACTAATATGAACTCTAAGCTCCAATAAAAAGCTATAAAATCTGTAGGTAAAAATGAGTTGGTGAAAATCTGCTTTCTCTCTAGAAATCTTTAAAGATGGTCTGATTATTTGAGGAAGAGAACTATGCTGTTGTCCCAGTTACCCTTACTTGCTCATTACACATGATAAGCCTGTATCAGCCCCAGGCTGAAAGGGGGCCTGAAAGGGGCCGTTTTGTGTCTGGGGATCTGTGATGAGACCGATTTCTTTTTTTCTTTGAGACACAGTCTCACTATGTTGCCCTCGGTAGAGTGCTATGGTGTCACAACTCACAGCAAACTCAAACTCTTGGGTGTAAGTGATTCTCTTGCCTCAGCCTCCCAAGTGGCTGGGACTGAAAAGAATTGTGCTGTTGTCCCAGTTACCCTTATTTTCTCATCACACGTTATAAGCCTGTATCAAACATCAAATGTGCCCCAGTGTATAACTATTTATGTACCTATAATTAAAAATAAAAATTTTAACAGTTTAAGAGAATAAACTGGATAATCCCAAAGATCAGTGCTAGTCCTTTGTTAACCAAATTTATTGACAAAGAGCTTATTATACTTTTTCAACATAACTTTTTCTGGTACTTCCTTGAAGTCCTAGGTGAAGTATATGGCCCAACAGAGCACCACTGTTGCTCAGGTGAAGTGACAGAAATGACATTTCTTAGAACGGTGTCAGTCACTTTTTTCTTTTATACTAAACCTCTTATAATCATTACAGATGCATTCCTATTGAATGTACCATATTATAATGTCAAGCCAATATCAGTCTGCATATCTGTTAAGCAGGGAATGGCACTATATGATGTGCTTAAGTTGTATTTATTTGAATGTTAATTTTATATCTAAAATTTTCTTCAGTAATAACTATATTGAGAAAAACGAGGTTATTTTATATTCATCACCTTTGTTTTTCTTTCTATTGAATATTTCTTTATCACAAATAGTAGTCATATTGCTAAACATAGACAGTTTTAGAATTCCTTATAAACCAAATTTTCTGTGTCAGATCCTTGATCTCAGAGTTTGAAGAATGAAAACAGAACCATTAGTGAGTCTATAGATACCTTTTGCCAGTAAGTGAAAGGACAGAGTTTCTTGAAAAATAAAAGAGGTAGATAAAAGAAAGAGGGGGAACAGAACCTCTGGGAATGGAAGGGGAGCCCCAGGGGCAGTAAGTTTATATACCACTTGCACCATCCTGCAAGCAGGGGTGGGGTTGGGAATATATGTCTGGAACTTGTCACAATTGACCAGGAACCTGTGGGAAGAAAATAACCCTAAAATTAGCAAAGGAATGTGGTCCTTGAAAACCTTGCCCCAGTTGAGACCTTAGGATGTGTGTTCCTTGTTCCAGGAGGAATTGGCCCAGTTGAGATACCAGTCAGGCTGCTTTCTTCATGAATCTTGTTTGTGCCCAGAGAATGTGGCCTGAAAGGGGCCGTTTTGTGTCTGGGGATCTGTGATGAGACTGATTGCTTTTTTTTCTTTGAGACATAGTCTCACTATGTTGCCCTTGGTAGAGTACTGTGGCGTCACAACTCACAGCAAACTCAAACTCTTGGGTGTAAGCGATTCTCTTGCCTCAGCCTCCCAAGTGGCTGGGACTACAGGCACTGGCCACAATCCTGGCTGTTTTTTGGTTGCAGTTGTCATTGTTGTTTAGCAAGCTGTGGCCAATTTTGAACCCATCTGCCTTGGTGTATGTGGCCAGCGCTCTAACCACTGAGCTATGGGCACCAAACCATGAGACTGATTTCTGAGATCACCTAGGCCTAGAAAATTGGGGTCCCTGTCTAGCCCTGAACAGAAGAATTCTGTATCAATTCTATTTCTATGTATTTTTTCTATGTTCTTTTAACTTTTATTTTTTAAATTACAAACTGACAAATTACAGTTGTATAAATTCTGACATCAAAAACAAAATTTATATGTGGAGGGGAAGAAAAATGTAGAGTGGTATACAAGTTAAGTTAAGTTGTTATAAGTTTGAAATAGACTGTTAAGTTTCCTGCATTTTTAAAACACAGCTTTATTTTATAGAGCAATTTTTTCCTAAATTTTTACTTCTTATATGAGCAGAAATAGTTCAAGTTCTTGGTTGTCAGAAGGCATAGATGTTATTTTGTTGGTATTTGGAAGAAGAGCATTAAAATGAATTAATTTTAGTAGATTTCTATGAATGCGGTGAGGAATTTGTGAACTTTTATGGTCATAGATTATGTTTAATATTAAATTGCTCAGTCTTATTAAGGATTGTCCAGTAAGGTTGAGCTGAAGTTAGCACAAGAGTTAAGAATGAGTGAAAGAATATTATCTTGGCTAACGGTAGAACTTTAAAAAATAAATTTAAAAAAATTAATAAATAAATTCCAGTTTTAAATACCTAAAATTAAAGCCTTGATCTACTCAGAGTAATGACTACCTTGTTATACTTCATAGTTAATTCACTGCATTATTTTGTTTTAAACTGTTTGTATTTGCTTCTATATTATTTTTTCATTCATCAAATGGCTATTTCTTAGAAAGCCATCATGGAATCTGATGAAGAATGGTCCATGAATAAGAAGTTGATTGATCTCTCTTCGAAAGATATCAGGAAATCTGTAAGTATCAATTTTTTTTTCTAATATAAAAAACTACCCTGGTGTTCAGAATCTTCATCAATTTCTACATCTTAGTTGAGAAGGAAACCATTTAGCTGAATGACTAAAGGTGAAGTATCTAATTTACAAATAAAGAAGTTTTCATTCTACTTGATCTAGAAAATGCTTATTTTTAAAGACTTTTTATTTGTTCAAATGAATGTTTCTTGCTGACCTTTAGCGCATTGCCATAATAACTGTCTGTTAGTGCAGCTCAGTGCAAAATAATAACACCTACTCAGTCCATTTGCGTTGAACTGAGGGCCCTCCCCACGGAGAGACCAGGGTGCAGCCCTTCCCTGTGTTCCACACAGGCTTTTATTGAAATTGTCAGGCGTGAGAAAACACAGCACAGTGGCAAGCTTCAAAGAGAGAGCCAAGGTTCAAAAACAAGGAGTTGTTTTTTAACTGCATGATTTAACTCTTAACCATTCTGTTTCCTGCACTTATGTCTTGCCTTTTCTTATCACTGCTCAGTCTGACTTAGGGCAGAGACAGTGTGCTGTGTCCAGTGAGTAATGTTTTTAGTACTCAGGCCAGCGTGATGCTTGGCTTTCTCCCAGATCACTCTGTCCCTGCTGCCTGGCCCTTTAACCCTGTCTTCTGTCCCGTAGTTGTCTGTGCCTGCCCTTAGAATCTCCCTGAGAGCTCCTCTGGTGGGCATCTCAGCCCTGTGGGACAGGTAGTGAGAGGGGCTTTCTTTCACCGGAATTATACTGAGAGAACTGTGTTACAGGTTCCATTTGGAATTTGGAATTTATTTTTTTTTTATACAGAGATTCCCTATTATGTTCATATAAAATAGTAGTTGAATTAGATTATGAGTTCTTTGGGAGATTTGCCTAATCATGTTTCGTAGTTTAAGCTTGATCAACCTCTAGATAAAGCTATACATTAAGTTTAACACTACTTCTGTAATGATCTTTCTCTTTTTTAGAAATAGAAATTAAATATAAACTAAATGGGATAGAGATTTATAGAACTATGAGTTCCTTCTTGTTTACCTATTCAAAAAATAATTTATTCTACAAGTATTTATTGACTGCTATGTACCAGGCACTGTTCTAAGCGATTCTTGTACACAGTGTACAAACAGAAAAGATCCCTGTCCATATGGAGTCTGTATTCTAGTGCCGGGGTTGCTAACTCAAGCCTGCTTGCTAAATGCAGTGTTTCACCTGGTTGTGTAAATTAAGTCCCAGCAGAGATGGTATAAACTATGATGCCTAAACTATTTTATTATGTGGCCCATTTTACAGGAAAAGTTTGCCCTTCTCTGTTCTAGTAGATGTTGCTAGAGGATTTCTCCCTCATTGCTTCTTTTGGAAAGCCATCCTGTTACATGTCGTGTGAATAGTAGGTTTCCTTATTATACTTATATCCCTTATTAAATTTCATTGTATTACTGAAGCTACATAGTTTTAATTCAGGAATAAAACATCATTACATTTTCTCTTCTCTTGCTGGTGAATTGGACCAGACAACATACTAAAAACCAAAAAACAAGCAAAAAAACCCTAAATGTCCTCTTTATTTCTCGCCCTTGTAGGCCTGTAGAAGAAAGTATTTAATGTACGTACATTTGTTCATGACTGGGTTTTTCACTTTTCATATCGTAATTTCCCATTCCTTTAAATATTCTTTTAGAATACAATATATTTTTTTTTAAGACAGAGTCTCAAGCTGTCCCCCTGGGTAGAGTGCTGTGGCATCACAGCTCACAGCAACCTCCAACTCCTGGGCTCAAGCGGTTCACCTGCCTCTGCCTCCCAAGTAGCTGGGACCACAGGCGCCCACCACGTTGTGCAGCTGTTTTTTGGTTGCAGCCATCATTGTTGTTTGGCAGGCCCGGGCTGGATTCGAACCCGCCAGCTCAGATATATGTGGCTGGCACCTTAGCTGCTTGAGCCATAGGCGCTGAGCCTTAGAACACAATTTTAATAGCTGTTGAAAATATTTCAAGTGGAAAATTTAGAAGAAAGGTATTATTTCCCATTCGCTACATTATATACACAGTTTTCTTACTGGTGAACCATCTAGTACTTATTATTTGTTTTTTGAAGCCTGGATGACTATCCTGAATTAAATTGCCAGGAGATCTTAATATATTAACGTAAGCAATATGGAAAATAAGAAGCAGGTACAGGTCGTTGTAAGAATGGAATTGTATATTCAACTTTTAAGTGTTTCAAAGATAACAATTACCTTTACTAGGGCACCACATGGTCTTCTGTCATGGGGACTATTTGGGAGTCACAGTGGGTGAAGTGTGAGCCAGATGACCTCTTACAGTCCCTTGTAGCTTTAGGATTCTGTAATTACATGGATGGAATTGTGATAAAAACTTGAGGGTGGGGCGGCGCCTGTGGCTCAAAGGAGTAGGGTGCTGGCACCATATGCCAGAGGTGGCAGGTTCAAAGCCAGCCCTGGCCAAAAACTGCAAATAAATAAATAAATAAATAAACTTGAATGTAAGAATAATTCCAAAGCAGGTGACTTTTTAGGTTAACAAACTGTTTAGTGTCTTTTTAAAAGTATTTCTGAGCATGAACAATATTAAGCTTTTTACCTTTATTATGACTCCTGAAAGGACCCCATCATACTTCATTTAGAAGTTTTGTGTCCTTAGGAATCTCATGAAATATTTTGCCTGCATTATTAGGGTGGGGTAATTTTTATTTTTACTGAGAAACTTCCTGGTTTATAATAGAGATTCAGATATTTGTATGATTTTTTTTTTTTTTTTTTTGAGACAGTCTCACTCTGTCACCCTAGGTGAAATGCTGTGGCATCATAGCTCACAGCAATGTTAAACTCTTGGGCTCAAGAGATCCCCTTGCCTCAGCTTTCTGAATAGCTGGGACAACAGGCGCCTGCCACAATGCCCAGCTAGTTTTTCTATTTTTAGTAGAAATGAGATCTCGTCTCGCTCTTGCTCAGGCTGATCTCTAACTCTTGAACTTAAGCAATCTGCCGGCCTTGGTGTCCCACATTGCTAGGATTATAGGCAGGAGCCACTGTGCCTGGCCTGTATTTGTATTACACTTTTTTAAATTTATGTTTTTCTTAAATAAAATTTAAGAAAGAGTGAGATAAGCTTTCCTTTTTCTGCCTGTCTTGTTTAGTTTTGGGAGGGCTTTTGATTTCTTTGCAGTGCAGTGTAAAGTTGATGGCAATAGACAAGAAAAACATATCTGAATGTTCCCTGCAAAGGAGTTGTGTGACAATAAATATCAAGAAAACGTACAACTTTTTTTGCCTCACAATCTGTTGTAAATGTACTGCTACAAGTTTTGCAGTGGTATACATCTGTATAAACCTTCCATCTGAAACATCACCCCAGTTCATCAAGAAGTAGCTTAAAACTACTTTACCCCTCCTCCCAGAGGCACGGAAGTGTAAAATTGAGAGTGAATGACCTGGAAAAATGGGCAGAAATATTTTGTTTCTTTAAAACCTTCCCCACTCTTTTTGGAACCTGAGACTCATGGTCGGGAGGGGGAGGGAAATGTCTTTTGTTCTTTGTGCTACTAGAAAGGGTTCAGCTGAAGTGTTGAGATGGCGCTGGAGGCCCTGGGGCCTGGTTGGCAAAGTTCCTCAGGCCTCCCAGGTGGGCAGAGCTCATGGCTTTGTCTTCAGCAGAGATGGGAAGATTAGACTCAGTAACTAGCGGAAGAAGATGGGCCCTCCCCTTTAGAATCTGTTTCTGCTTAGGTTTGGGGAAATTTGGTATCTCGATATGAGTAATCTGTCACTTTTCCTCTTTTGCAGGTGAAGTAATAAATTTCTCTTTATGCGAATTCTTCCTGAAAGTTTTATTATTATTATTTATTTAATTTCTTTTTTTTTTTGAACAGCCAAGAAAAAAATTGCAATTTATTAAGATTCAACAAAGCGTTGTACTTTTGAAAGCAACTTTCGGTGCATGTTCTTCAACAATCACATTCTATGAGGAAAAACATTAACAGCCACTATTTTTTTAATTTCAAAACATTAAGAGGATACAGATGTTACATGGATACCTTCCGTGATGCTTAAGTCAGTGCTTTTAGTCTGCCTATCACTGGAATAGTGCTCATTGTACTGAGAGGCCAGTTTTTGCCCCTTGTCCCTCCCAGTCTCCCTACTTCTTGGTTTTCAATGTCTGTGATGTATCTTGATGCACATGTGCCCACTGGCTAGCTCCCAGTCATTGGAGTGGACACCTGGTGTTTGTTTTTCCCTCCCTGAGATACTTCTCTTAAGAATAAGGGTCTCCAGTTCCATCCAGCTTACTGCAGAAGGCATTGTTTGTTCCTTTTTATAGGTGGGTGGCACTTCCTGGTATATACATACCACATTTTCTTTATCCACTCATGAATTGATGGATATCTAGCGGATTCAACATGTTTGGGATTGGGAATTATGCTACAGTAAACATTTGAGTGCAGGTATCTTTTTGATAAAATGACTTATTTTCCTTTGGGGGAATCCTAGTAGTGGGATTATTGGATCGAATGGTAATTTATTTTTTTGAGGAATACTGTTTTCCATAGAGGTTGCACTAATTTGCAGTCTCTTGGCACATCTGCTTTTTTTCCTATTTAATAATGGCCATTCTAGGGGTAAGGGTGTATCTTACTATAGTTTAATTTGCATTTCTCTGATAATTAGTGATGTCGAGCATTTTTTCATTTGTCCATTTGTTTATCTTCTTTTAAAAAACTTATATTCATATCTTCTGTCCATTTTTTGATTTTTTTTTCTTGAAGATTTGTTTGAGTTCTTTGTAGGTTCTGGATATAGCCCTTTGTCACATGTATAGGTTGAGAATGTTTGCCTCTATTCTCTAGGTGTTGTGTTTACTCTGTTGATTATTTCCTCTGCTGTGCAGAAGGCTTTTAATTTAGTTAAGCCCCATTTATTTACCTTTGTTATTGCTATATTTGCCTTTGGGGTCTTAGTCATAAATTCTTTGCCTA